CTTGCCCCATTACTGTTGCCCCTATACCAGGGGCAACTTTAATAAAAATAATTAAAATAATTACAACTTTACAAAAAGAGAGAAGTTGCCGATCTTGCCCCTATACCCGGGGCAACTTCGTCAATTTCTCTCTTCTTGTAAAGTTGTAATTATTTTAATTATTTTTATTTCCAAACTGATTGTAACCAGTTCTATAGTAAGGTAACAGTCCAATAGACAATATGCAAAGTTTTTTTTTCCAGTTTACAGCAGTATTTATTACACAAAATTTAAGTAAAGCTTAACATGCCGATCTTGCCCCGATCTCCCCTATATATTCACATTAATAATGTATGATCCAATATACCAATATTATTGATCATACAGAAATCAAAGAACTGATATAAATAAGGCGAATATAACATACTATCACACAAGTTAGTTATGTTTAGACGAAAATTTTATTAAATCATTTACATCAAAATTTACTAAAGTAAGAAATTACATTATCGACTTTATTTTATCACGTAAAACTTAATTATGGTGTATAATTTCTAACTTATTAATTAATATCATGTATCTACAATTAAGGAATTTTTCGAATATGCATTGTATACAAATTATAGTAAAGAGACGTTCACAAACAATTCTCGATTAAATAAATATTATAGTACAATTAAATATAATTACAGTAATTGTCTTTTACATTATCTATCGCTTTCTACAATATACATAAATTTGATATTTTCTATATTAGTGTTTGAATTAATTAAATTGTGGACAAGTCAAACTAAACTAAACTTATTAGTATAAATTCTCACATTTTCGAAAAACAGTTAATATTGTTATAATTAAAACAGATGTTAACATTTTACGATTTACATCATGTCACGTTCCGTCACGATTTACATCATGTCTTCAAACATTCCGAAATCATATTTACAAGAGAGAAAACGGTTAAAATAAACGTGGTAGTATGGACATTTACAAACAATTTTTTATATAATAAAATGTCTTTTGATGAATTATAATTCACATCAGTGTATTTTACTATTAAATTATTTCACAATCTATTTCACATTGTTCATCATAGAATATTACATTATTATATCATATAATCATTGCGTGTCTTTACCGTTGAGTATTATACATCTATAAATCTACATTTGTGTTACTATATGTTTTTGTATGTTTCTTGCTCAATATTCGAGTGTTGACCATAAAATTAATTTCATTTTTATCACGGCGCGAAATCTCCTAACTTTCTACATTGCGTGAATTATCATTAAATGACAGGCGAAGAAAAGAATAAAACACGACATCGGACGTTTAAAATAAATTACTTGTGAAATGTAATAAACTTTAGTGATCACTACGTAGCAGTTTAGCAAATAATTTTCATTTAGAGTCGTCTTTCAAAATAAAAATTTATTGTGGAGTTATTAAGTTTAATGTTTCGAAGCATTCTTTATATTTAAAAGACCAGAAAATATGGAATGT